ACACGGTGCAAAATCCCAGAAGATTGCTTTCTAAATTATTTAAATTAAGAAACCAAGTTACATGACGAACAAGGAGTAATAATTTTGATTAGAATTATAATGATTGATCTTATAAAACAGTGTTCGGCTGTAGGACTATGACCATGGACTGTTCATGGTACCAGTCTGAGAATTCTGCTGTGAAAATTCACTCAGTACACCAGTGGAACAGCCAGTTGAAACTCAACAGGGAGCCATTTGTTTGGTATATTTATCCTCCATCTTTTTTCTTCCGTTCATTTATCTCATTAAATTCTTCATCCAGTTCCCTTATTCCTTTGTTAAAATATTTTTTCTTCAGTTTACACAGTTTCAAACAAAGAGTTCTTCGCACTTTCGTGACCAGGTTTTCGCTTGGCTTACTCTTCGAGAATGTGATCGGAGGCGATAGATTCCTCCGAAACATCTATTTTCGAACTGGAACCTAGGAGGCTGTGCTCTTCGTAGTCACCACCATAATAACTTTAAAAACAAGACGCTAAACGACCTCTGTTATTAACATCGAAATCGTCCGCCTTGCCCCCGCGGCAACTTCTCCAACTGTTATGTCATGCAAGAAGCAACACACACTGCAGTTGCCTTCACAGAACACGTACGAGTACTTAACGACTAAAAGCCGTCTTTCCAGCAACATCTCCGTCGTCACCCTAATCTTCGTCATGTAAATTTGTAATTTGTTGTTGTTCTCGGCCATTGTCTTCACTCACTCTTTCTACATGGCCATTCCTTCTCTACCTATAAGTTTCTGTCACTGGTAGCAATACCTTCAAACGTACCAAGTTTTATAGTGTAAGTTAATAGTTATTTCGTCTATACAACTAAATATCATAAACGTGTAACCTCTGCTGCTTCTCTTCTTCTTCTTCTGTCTCTTGTTACCCAGCGTTCATATCTTAACACCAGATTTTAACAGTGGTTATACCAATGTTTTATGTCGCTTCAAATATGTACTATTATATATATTGCACCGAAATTGCTGTAAGTTATTCCTCTTATTTATATACTTCCATTTTATTTTCGCAATGTCCTACATAATTCAATTCACTTGTCTGTTATGATTTAATTATGGTGGTGAACAGCACAGTATCTACAAACAAGACCTAAACTAAGGTCGTGGGGTACCGGATACCTGTAAGGCTAAGAATAGTATCTTCATAAATCGAGTTCCGCGTCAGTATAACATTTGAAAATACACATGAATAAATATTCCAGAGATGTAATTGAATTACGCAGATGAGATGAAGGCGAAAGCTAAAATTCATCATGTGGCTATATATATATATATATAGCAATGCATGAAGACGCAGGGGGGGGGTGAAGGCAAAGCTCGGCGCATTGTTAACTTCAACAACAGATTAAACGTCTATGTATCCATTGTCCGTCAATAAGGTAACAATTGTTTATTCACCATTTAACACTTAACGCAACATGTTTTGGCCATAGATGGCCATCTTCAGGTGTCTTAATTCATCCAGACTGTTACATTGCTCTGATGTGCCCTAAAACAGATCGTTACAGTCCATTTAAAAATAACATAAATAATTAATTAAAATTCATTAAAATTTTCTATTAAATTTCTTTTGTAAAATCCTATTTCACCTCATAAGGGGCGTCGTCCACTTGTTTGGAGCTGTGTGATATTCCAGAAGGTTCGTTTCTGCAGCTTGTTCTTCTGTTTGTTAGGCCGTTGTTTTGCTACATCTGCTGTCTGTAGTATGGCCCTTGCTTGTGTGTTGTTCCCTCTGGCAGCGTGTGGTGTCGTCTTCACTAGTGGACGGAAGCAGATCCAGTTCTCGAAACGTCGTGTTTCCTATTTTCTAGAATACCGGACGATGAGAAAAGCCCAAACACCTAGTAATTCTGTGTGTACTGCGATGTGGTAAGCAAATGGAAAAACTACCACATTATCACTTTTCCTGGATAGTCTCTTTCCAAAAACAAAGGTACCACGTATGCGAGATGTTTCCTCTGGAGACAAAACAAACCGGAAGGGCAGATAGAAGTTACCAGATGACGAGGAAGAAGACGTAAGAAGATGCTGGATGACCTTGGGGACAGAAGAGGATATTTTTATTTGAAGGAGAAAGCTTGAGATCGCATTAAGTGAAGGAACTGTTTCGGAAGAGACCTGTCGTCTGACAGATTACTGATGAATGAATGAAATATACCATCATCAGAACCTTTTAGTATCTAAGAATATAATTTAGTTTTAAATGTTCCTGACAAAAAAAGATTATATTTCATGGGAACATATTCTTTTAAGTTTTTGCATGATCTCTGATTTAATATTATTTCTTCAAATATTTTTTATATTTGTGAATTTTATCTGTCGTCTCACGCAGTCATTATAGCAAACTGGTCGTTATGCCACAAGTTATACTTATTGATAGCTGTACAGAACGCTTCACAGGTTTATCGTCTGCTTTTAACTGCTGGAACTTCCTGTGCCTTCATAAGATTGTGTTAACTGTTCGCGTCAAGTGAACAAGTTTCTCAACACGCCTCAGTTCCTCCACCAACATTGGATACACACATGACTCTCGTTTCACTTTCTATTACATTTGTTGCAACAGATTTTGATTACTGTGTCATTCAAGTGCAGCATGGGTAGACAAAGCCAGTTACATATATTTGTCGTGTTTATTTTATGTTTCCTCTCCATAAATATCATAAGTAGAATATATAATCTGGAGGTTTTACTGTATGTGTTCTAACCGAAAGCAGTAAAATTTCATTTTGACCCATAAGAGCCTTGTATAGCCCCTACTTCATATGGAGCCCCTTCATACCGCATTTTGGTTTGCACTTTTAGGCACAGTTCATGACACTTTATATAAAAGCAGTCGACAGAGATTTATACCAAAGAAGCAAGTCGACCTATGATCAATTATGAAACCGTGCCATATCTCAGGCGTTTAGTAGTCGGCTTCCCATTGCGGGGTCCCTGTTCGAACCCATATCAGATCATGTGGGATTTATGGTGGACAAGGGGACAAAGTGGTACTGGGTCAGGTTTCCTCCTAGTGTTTAAGTTTCCCCTGCCAATTCTCATTCCACCGACTGCTCCACATTCATCTTCTATTACCCGGGGCTGGTACAATAGGCCAGTTAGTGGCCGCAGTACCTAGTGGACTCAGTCTCACCCCACCACAAGAAACTAAAAAAAAAATCAGTTTTGGAATAACATTTTATTGGATTTATCGTCAATGTATTACTTTTTTTATTGCTAATAGGGTGGGACTGAGTTCCGTGTACTGGGGCCACTTCTGGCCTATTGTACCAGCCCCAGATGATCAGTGAGGTTGATTGTGGAGCAATTGGTGGAATGAAGATTGGCAGAGGAAACCGAATTACTCAGAGAAAACCCGCTCCTGAGCTAATTTGTCCACGACAAATCCCACTTGACCAGACCCCCGATCGAACCCGGGCCGCCGCGGTGGGAAGCCAGCGACTAACCGCTTGAACTATGCAGCGGCCCAATCTATTACATACTCCAGGAGTTGTTAAAAGTGGACTGGAATTTTAGACGTGATGTCAATCTGTACCTGATTCACCAGGGTATAAAAATGTCTTCTTGAGAACAGGATTCGTAACTCACATTTCTATTACAATCAAGCCTAACATGCCGCCATAACAGTTTTGAAGGCTTATTGTTCTGCAAAAGAGTGTTAAGTCGTACATTTACCTTCGGAAATTTTACAGACATTTATAGAAATGATTTGATAGGTACTAAGTAGACCTATCTATTCCATCAATGTCATTTTCTGTAAAATTTGGTTTAGATATTTAATTTTACTTATTTGTTAAAAATAGGATATAAAATAACCGTGTAACAGATTCCAAATACGTGAAAGGGAGTTATTAAAACTTTTAGAGGATCTATTTATACATAATTATTCTACCTCTTATGAAGACAATTTTAAAATGATCCTAATTTTTGTAAAAATTTTCAGATTTGTGAAGCTATAAAGAAGAAGGAATATAATTATAAATGAAATCTTTAGATAAATTGGGATTACTAGTTTATTCATAAAGTTACAACATGAATAACTAACGTGGTATTTCAATGTAATAAGAATGGACAAAAGCAAGGATTCAGAGAAGGACACCAGAGCTAATATCTAAATGAAAGAGACCTGCAGGGAGATTCAGAACAAGACGTTCCGAACAGATACTAGAATGTATCAAGAGCAGAGGAAGCATCTTAGCAGGAAGAAGCTTCTTCAATTTAAAACCGACATCATTCAAATTCTATTCAATGGATTTGGGCGCTTACCACTTCATATTAACTCTTCAGCCATAACAAATGAGGCTTCTCTTCTCATGTGCATCAACTCTGACTTCCATTAGAATTGTTTCTCCACCGTTAGACAAAGTTTATCTAATTGTATCGCCTTGAATTTCGACATTAATTTATTGATCCGTAGTCTTCATATAGCGTGTTATGTTTAATGGCAATGGATTTGCATACACAAGCAATACATGCACATAAAATTCTATGCAACATGAAAAACTACACAGAACATATTTTTATAAGTTTAAAATGAGGTAAATTTTAATTATTTTATTCGGAAGGTTTCAGAAGCTTAAGGGCCACACTTGGCCTTATGATACTTTTGTGCCATCCCTGTTATTACACTGAACAGTCCTTCAGACGAAGCCATTGTCTACTTAGTCGTAACTTGCCGCATGTGAAAATAATAGAAACAGAAATTTTACGATTATGTCAAAGAGCGCCTCAAAAAGAAAAAAAAAACGAAAGAAGGGCGTTTTGTAGTTGACGTCATGTTATCACTGGAATAATGCAGTGACCTACAGAAATTTATGTCAAGAGCCTTCGTGACTCTACATTTATTCAGACTGAAAGCGTTGTTTTATTCTTCCTGGCATGTACACGTTATGCGGTCCAGATATGTCGCAGCATGAGCTGGAGAATTGTGCACTTCTGTATAAAAGTGGGCATCCATATGCTGGCGGATGGACTTCTCTGCAAACATCTTCAACTTCTGCATCAAGATGAAATTTGATATGACTGTTTTTACGCTTCTTTCTGCAGCTACGCTGACTTTGTCATTCTGTCCTCAACATGTATTTACGTTGCTTGATAAATTTTATCTTCAATACGACCATCCCAATCAGTCATCAGATCGGACAGAATCTGTAAGTACTTCATGTAAGTTATTTTTTTAGAATCCACTTATTCTTGTGCAATCATTAAAAGCAGTGAATGTCCTCCTGTGAAAGTGCAGTAGTGAACAGAAGTTTATAAGATATTACAAGTGAACTCTGAAAGGTTCTGACTATGGTGTACAACACTCAGTGCTACTGGCTTTTTGGACTTTGTGCATCGTCCGATATTCTAAAAAATAATAAAGAACTCAGCGTTTTGGGAACTGGATCTGTTTCCGTTCTCAAGTGGGGGGTTGGGGACTTCTAACCTGTTATGTCCGTTAGAAAGGACTAACCTCAGTCACTGGACAATCCCAAATGCTGGTTCTTTTAGCGTTCATTAGAACACCGGACAAGGGACAAAATCCCCAAAACTCAGTAATAACATGATGTTACAAAATTGTACAGCTTTATTTATTTCTCTTGGGGACTTCTTCACTACTTTCTGCAGTCTAAGGCTGCTGGCACACCAGTCTAATATAGTCAAGTCGAGTTAGGGGAGTGGAGTGGAGTGGAGTGGAGTAGAGTTGAGTTGAGTTGAGTTGAGTTGAGTAGTCTGTCATTAGGCCTCATTTTCAATCGAGTCGTCTTGACTCAAGCATAATGTTAGACTTAACAGAAGAATTCTATGCTAAAATAATTGTCCCGCCTTTTGCAGCATCTTAATGAGTTTGAGCTGATTAGACTTGTGTGACTCGATTCGGTTAGTGTGCCAGTAACCTTAGAAGCCCTATTACTTCTAGACCATAAGTTATTCATTGTAAAAATCTAGAGGTCTTTAAATTCTATTTTCGGTTTTATACCTCATACATCCCGACGAAAGATGTTGTTCGAAATCTCATTATAAGGTTTCTACTGAAATTTTTGTAGACTTCTTCACTCTGCCGCATATAGAGTCAATATATATATATATACATTTTAGTTTCTTGGGTTATGAAACCATATAGTGTGGTAGATTGGTGCTGAAGTTTTCCATTTTTGGGTTAATCGGAAGCATACACTCCTCCGAAAAGTTAGGACCTACATACTTGTGTACAGTATCACAATCTAAAGGACCGCTGTATGAATTTTCACAGCCGTGCACACCACAAATCTTATAGGCATTACATTAACCAAATTATCTTAAGAATAACAGGAAAGGGCATAAGCATATTCACCTTCTGCATTTTCTCCAGTTCCTTAATTAGTTTATTTCTAATCAAGACAAGGTAATAACTTGAGAACAGAAATTGACTGTAATCATTTTTTTAAGAATGCTTTTGACGTAACCGGAAGAGACATGGGAAATGAACCACACAAGCGACACGCCAGGTGCCTGGAATGGTTTGAATGGCTCTTCGATTTGTTGGAACCTGAATATACAAGCGAAGCCACCACGACAGTCGCAACTTCTACACCTCCTGCAACTACCACGACGACGGGAAAAACTGTTACGTCACAGTCTACTGAGACCACCCCGTACGTAGCGCCACTTGTAGTTTGGGTAACCTGCACAGTAATTGAGCGTCATTTTGTGTTGGATATATAATTATGTGTAGGTCCGTGGACACAGCACCAACGTGACCTTGCGAGTCGTAGGAGGCTACGAAAAGGGAAGTCTCAGATATGAGACAATAATATTTTGTCTCTAGTCCTAAGGAACTCGGATCCGAGAAAGACTGCGCTAGCAAGGACCAGCAGCATATACAAAAGAAGGACCCGTCGTCTCGTCAGAGAGGGCGCCCACAAAAAACAAGACCGTAACTGTCTGACAGTAATAAAGATTTGGTCGGAAGCTCCAGATGAGTGCTCTAGGCCAAGACAGACTGGTCGACTGACCGTCGGTCGTAAAATGAGACTCAGTCTCAGACAAAAGAAGAACCGAGAAAGGATTAGCTGAGTCAGGAGTTCCAGCGAGATCCAAACAAAAGTCAGAAGGAGTCTTTATTTTGTGCGGTGTAGTTACAAAACCTTTAGAATGTTATAATTGTTCATAGTTGCGAAGTGTTATAGTTACAATAAGATTGCAAATGATATAATTAATTGTAGGTCCGACTGATTAATATCCAATAAATCGACTTACAGATCGAAACTCGCGCCTGAAGTCATTAATACATATGACAATATACCATAACTTCATTAGTTACATGCAGCTGAGATACATGCAGTGGCGTATTTGTTTGAGACACTTTGCTGATGAGGTGACTGGATTTTGCAATTGAGCTAATCCTTCCAGCCGCGCTATGGCCCTGGAATCGACTCTGCCTTTAGCAGAATAGAGTACCAGGAATTTTCCTGGGGTGTAAAGAGCGGCCGGCGCGTAAGGCTGACAACCTCGCCGTCATCTGTGAGCTGATTATATAGAAAATGTGGGATCCTCGACGTCTCACAAACCCATAGGCCTCCATGGCCTGTTATAGGGATAGCTTTACCTTTACCTAGAGTTGATACTACACATTGTGCTATGTCAACCTACCTACCCATAATTGTAATTCTATTGTTCTTATATTCATCCCTTGAACAAGCCTGATAGAAGGCAGTGTGAATACAACGTTTGTTACTTTGATTTAAACTGTTAATCGTTGATGAATATGAGGCTGTGTTTATGACATCATATAGCGGCCTGATTAGTTTATCTTGTGAAAGGCTGCAGTTCCTCGTCACCCGCTGTTTTACCAACCCCGGATTTCATGCATCTGCAGTTTTCCACTTGTATTCGGTCTTTCCAACTGCAACGTTTCCTTTTGTGTATCAGCGCTTTTCGAGTTTACGCAGGCCTTACACAAGGGAAATGTGGATGCCTGTCACTCTAATAGGCCCATATTTTATAGAGGAAAGAACCGAAACCAAAGTTCTAGTTACTAGTTTACAATTTCGGAGCTTATTTTTGTACAATACTCTTCTATTTTTATGTCTGCATATGAATTTTTATAATTACACAGGTAAAATATATTATGATCAGTAAAAGTGATAAAAGGGGTTACGCGGTAACGTAGCTGGTTCAGGAACTATGCGAGAAGCCGAGTTCGAGTTCCTATGGGATGGATTTTTTTTCCCCCTATTTACCTAATCCTTCCAGCCGCACAATGACCCTGGGGTTGACTCAGCTTTTAACAGAAATGAGTACCAGAAATCTTCCTGGGGAGTAAATTGCGGCAGGCGCGTAAGGCTGACAATCTTACCGCCATCTGTGAGCCGATTATCTAGATGTGGGAGTCTCAACCTCTCACAATCCTATGTGCCTTCATGGCCTTTTACAAGGATAACTTTACCTAAAAAGCGATGGAAAAATCAATATCCAGCCTGGGAACGGGGCATGGTAAATGGTCTAACCAATGGTGATAATGATGATATTGTTATTACGTATATCAGTTTATACTCGTATTTAGTGAAGAAAAATGTAAGTTAGGCTCTGATAAACGTTAACAGCAGCCACTGTTCACTGAGCTCAAAATTTTCCAACTGCGGTATTTGGTGCGAACGTTTCTCTGAGGGTTCTTAAAGGGTTGCTGTGAAACAATATATTCAGGTTCAGAGATACAGCCGTAAAATAATTTTTCTCTATGGAACATACGTCTTTGTATATTATATTTACGGTTTAGACCCGGTGATTTCTATTTCATTAATTTATTCATTAATGGCTCTACAGCTTTTTGTTAGGCCCTAGTCTCTTCTTCAATTGCGTACTCTTTTTTTACACAGACGATAGGACTCCTTGGATGAGTGATCAGCCCTTCTTAAGGCAGCTACCTACACGTAGGATAACATAAACGAAAAAAAACGCACACACAAACATCTATCCCTACAATTTGGATTCGAACCCAAGATCCCAGCGTACGAGAGAGCGAAGACAGTTAATATTTTAGACCGCGCGGTCACAGAGATCGGCTGATTTGTTTTTAGCGACGTAAAATTTTCGTCATGATTCTTAATTTGATATCTGAATTGATATGTTTGCATAACCCTGACCATAAGTCATTGCAACCACACGTCTGCTACTGTCCTGTAAAACATTTCTCATTCTAAGAATAGTCATAGAAATATACATAGATCTATCGATCTTCTGCCGGTTAAGAAATTAAATTTTCCTGTGACCATTCCTTTTCACATNCATACATAGATCTATCGTTCTTACCGGTCTTCTTATGCCGGTTAAGAAATTAAATTTTCCTGTGACCATTCCTTTTCACATCGCCTCAAATTTATTATTCACAAATCATCCTATGTATATTCGACGCTACATAATCTGAGCAACTGAAAGCTTCGTTGAATAAACTTACGAGTGGAATTAAGTAAGGACACGTAAAATGTACATAAGAAAAAACAAACTCGGTGATTTTAGTCCGCAAGCGAACTATACCGACCGAGCGACCGCCGTTTGTCGGCGATATTAGTGCCAACTTCAGCGGATAGAGGGTGTGACGTGGTCAGCGCAACGGATCCCTACAGCCGTTAATTTCGATATTCTAGACCGGAGGCGCGATTTCCTTGAAATGGCTCCTTAATTATCCTCACGAGGCTGAGTGGACCCCGTTCCAGACCCACTACTTCTCAGAGAAAATCTCGTAGCGCCGGGAATCGAACCCGGACATCTGGATCTTTAGTCAGGAACTCTGAACACTAGACCGCAGAGGCGGTGTGTAAAATGTACATACTACAATTAAATCCTAGACCATACTAGTACATAAATTATATGCGGAATTTAGTTGCATCAGTTCGTTAAACACAATAAATTATTATTACTGCTGAACCGTTTGTCTTCTATTACCCTACGCTGTATTTTTACAGGTCTCCAGCACTTCCTTGCACAGGATAAAGGGAACAGCATGTTCATAATGTGATTATAGTCCTTATACAGGCCAAGAAATTAATCGGTTTCTTTTTGTTCTAATGTGAATCTTTAACATTTAATTAGTTTCGAATTCTTTAACGTTAGAATCGAAACCATTACAAGAAATCAACGTTGACAACCACACATTACTTGCTTCTGTCATGTGCCTAAGGGTAGGTAACTGAACAATGCATTAATTTATCGTGTTTTTCCGACTTTTCGGAGAAATTATCCGTCATCAGAGTTGCCAGGTTTGTTTTCCGAAGGATTCTATTTATGGAATGTTGCTGTCATTATCTTGAGCTGTAACCGGTCTTGCTTTTTATCTTGTCCGCAGTACCATCACGTCGTCCACCACGGAAAAGCAATAGTTGCCAAATGTTGGTACGTGTGATTTTCTGAAAAGTCTTCGGCACAGATAGATGTCGGAGAGACGTCGAAGTTTTACAGCCGCCTGCAACAGCAATGATCTTCATATATTTTCTGTTGGAAAGAGAAAACACCTCAAAATATGTACTTCTTATGCACTTCATGGCTGCGTTGCCATGTTCCAGTAGTGTTCTATATAGCAGAATATTTTGTCATCTTTCTTATTATCCATTAGCAGCATGAACTAAAAATATTCATACACATACTGATAATTCATCTCCTTACAGCCAAGTTAGTGCTACAGAATATGCAAGCATTTTCCAGATAGTTTTATAATTATATAATGACAAAAAATATTCTGTGACCAAAGTAAGCAGACCAAATTTAAATCTTAAATATTTTATATATTAGAGTTTTGTTACGTATGGCCGCGCCATAGCTCAAGCGGTTAGTCGCTGGCTTCCCACCGCGGCGGCCCGGGTTCGATCATGGGTCTTGTCAAGTGGGATTTGTGGTGGACAAAATGGCGCTGGTGCGGGCTTTCTCCAAGTGCTTCGGTTTCCCTTGCCAATTTTCATTCCACCAAATTCTCCATCAACATAGTCACCCGGGGCAGGCTACACTAGGTCAATCAGTGGCAGCCGTGCCGAGTGGACCCAGTTGGACTCCACCAACCACTAAGCGAATTAAAAAAAAAAATGTTATGTATGCTGTACAGTATTAGTTACATATAACAGGAAACTGGCTACTACATATCGTAGCCGGGCTTGGTGGAGGGCTTTATTGGCAGAAAATTATTAAAAACATCATAAAGTGAAGTAGTTGGATTAATCCTATGAACCTATATTTGTATTTCAAGCGCTCTGCTTATTAGACACGGCATTGTCCAACAATATTCACGCACATTTTAATCACGTTACATAGGATAGTTTATGTGTATTTAGATGTATATCTTTGTATTTTTATGCACAATATTGCATATTAGAAAATATTAAAAATACGCTATTGAATTTGTAGTTACTATAGGATTCTGACGATGGTGTATAACACACAGAGATATTGGGTTTTCGGACTTTATCCATCGTCCTGGTTTTTAATATAACCAAGAAAAACACGACGTTTCGGAAACTGGATCTGTTTCCGTCCTCAGATGAGGGAAAACACCTATTCTGTTGGGTCCCTTAGAAAGATAAACCTCCAAAGTAGAAGTTACATGTCAAACACAGGTCCAAAAGGACAATTGGCACTTATGTTCTTAATAACGTAGTATTATATTATAGTCTGATCAGAGATGAAGCTCCTAACTTAATATCTGAGAATGTGACCACGTGCTGCCTCAGCGGTTATTGGTTTGGGCAAAACCAAAGGAACTCAGAGATATCCTGCTCTAGTGTCACTTTGTCCACCTCGAAACTCACGTGAAGCCATCAAGGATATAAATCGAGAGTCGGAGATACATTCAGGTGCCTAATCGCCTGGGCTATGCCATGGAACAAGTGTTTCGTACAATATTACCTTCTACAATATAACGCCGTGCAGTCGTTTCAGGAAAACATATCGCTTCTATCTTCAGGCTAAAATAATATGCCCAGTAAGATACCAGAGTGAAAGCAGATGACAAGCAGCTTCCTTGACACTGAAGTTATAGGCGATATGTTTTTCCGAAACGTCGGTAGGCTTTCAACGAAATATACGGCGTTATATCCCAGAAGATACTCTTCATAATCACCCATTTGGGAACCTCAAATCCTACAATTGTTTTGTATTTTGCATTCTCTTCTCTTTTCTCGTGTTTTTCCTTATTTCTCTTTTCCTCCATGTCTGCTTATTTCATTAATTTCTCTCTCTGCCTTTTTTTATCCCCCTAATCTTCCTTTAAATTCTATATCTATGTTCCTTCCTCATGTACAGCAAATTTTCTATGAAATTTTATTACGAATACAGCAGAAGCCGTCTCAGATACACGTGGTATGTCCTAACTTTCAGTAACGATGTAAACAAAAATGCTGAAAGTACAAGGTTATATTCGTAATTGACGTTAGGGAGCCGGTCACGATAGCCGAGCGGTCTAAGCCATGCACTGTCTTCGCTCGCTTGGATGCCGGGATCGTGGGTTCGAATCCCACTCAGGGCATGGATGTTTGTGTGCGTTTTTCTGTGTTTGTCTACAGGTAGAGGCCTTGCGACGAGCTGATCACTCACCCAAGGAGTCCTACCGTATGTGTAAGATCTAGTAAACCGAAGTGAAACGGCGAGTTTCATGGAGGTAGGCCTAGGCCCAAATGAGAGCTGTAGCGCCAATGGAAAAAAAAACGACGTTATGGAACCTCAGTTTATATTCCACCAACTATGATGTCTGCATATGCGTATGTAACTCGTTGGTCTCTATGTCAGTTTCGGAACAATTATCGGCACTTTAAACAGAAAGTTAGTGGGTATTTCTCACCAACGTGTATCATATTTTAATCCTACAGAGAGGAAAATTAATTAAAGTCCTTATTCCGGATAATAATATTAAATCATCTGATATGCATATGCACTCGTATTCACATGCGTCATATAACTGCAGATAGAAACTTGAACACTGCCACGTAGTTTTATTATCTTGAAGCAAGATTTATGTCGAATTCGTAGGCAAATCATACACTACTTAGTTGTGCATCAAACCAGATTTACGTGTACATGTTTATATATTGCAGTGCTGTTTTAACGCTACTAAAAAGAGGAAAACCAGAACGAGGATTTTTGAACCCGCTCTACCTTACGCATTACATCCATAAATTGGGCCTGGAAATTTACTCTTACCATACTTATAAGTGACAGTAAACAAGAAGTTCTGAACAAACCCATAAATCTCTTTTATTCTTGCATAGACTTTCAGCCTTGTGTTGTTAATATTATATGTAAGTAACATAAGATTCTCCCATGTGGAGGCTAGTTAGAATACCTCCACCGTAGTCCTGCTACTCCTAGAGGGCGAAGAAAATGGAAGCCGGTGCCTGGGGGTATAACTGGTCTTTAACTCTCTTCGACCTTGAAAGCGGAGACCTCCGAAACGTCTGGTTTCCTCCGAACTACACGACGTTACAACCCAGAATACTGTACTATTCATAGTCACCACTTCAGATCTAAAATTAAATGGAGTTAATATTCAAGGTGATTGAGAAGCTAAATTATTACAACGTAAAAAAACACTAACTGCCAAAATCGACCCGTCCTCATTTGCCAATGAAAGCCTGTTGTGGGTGGCCTACTATTTTTTACCAGGGCCATCTTTTAACAAGCAATTCAGGGCAAGGGTTAATAGAGAGCTGCAGGAAAGAGGATGCAAAGAGTAATTGAAACAGACAAGGACAGAAGTACGTAAGTACAAACATTGTATTACATATGAATCCTTGTGTTGTTAAGACCATTTCACGAAGTGGTACAAGTCATGACGACTAAACAAATGGCATTTACCGAGTGGAAGTATAAACGTTAATGTTTTAGAGACATTTACCTATATGTCGAATAGTCAGTTTCATTTGAACAGAAATGATCATTCGAAGCATTAAAATCACATAAATAATATTTAAAAACTTAGATTCCTTCTCACAGAAGACACACCGCGTTTCCATTACAAAGACCAACCATCAAATATTTGTTAAGGAAACAATGTAACGGGGAGAGCTAAAGCAGGCTAACGGTGGGCAACTCGCTGAACGACCGGGATTGGTTTCCCGGCAGAGGCAAGATTTTTCTCTTCTACACAGCTTCCAGACCCACTTTGAGGATCAAGAGTCCTCCTATCCAGTGAGCACTGGGAGGTTCCTCCTGGGGCTAAAGGGCCCAGGCCGTGAAGCTGACCACTTACCTCTATCTAGTGTCGAGTTCAAGAATGGTGGAGCTATACCTCCACTTCCCATATGTCTTCATGACTTGTTGCTTAATTAATTAAGGCCAAGGACATCTTTACTTTCTAGAGAAACAGTTTGCACCTAAGTAGATTCCAAAGGATTCTGAAGATGTGTAGGGCAATCGGAATTAATGTTTTTTTAATTTGTCCATAGTCCGGTTTTCTAAGGGACACAACTTCTCGGAAACTGGGTCCCTTTTCGTTCTCTCTCTGACGGATCCAACAGAGTAGATGTCTCCCTCCCACTCTCCTGAGGACGGAAACAGAAACAGTTCCCTAAACGTTGTGTTCCTTAGTTTCCTTTGGAATACTGGGCATGGATAGAGTCCAAAAACCAATTAATCCCGAATTTCCGCCTATTATGAGAAGCATATGACACTCATAACTACACTCAGTGGACAGAGAAAATTTTTGATGCAAAAGCATTTGGTATTTCAAGAACTTATAGTAACTGGTTTTTAAGTTTGTTATTTTGTGGCGTTGCCAATATCGAGACTGTGTGGTTTCGGTATGTTGAATAAATTATAGTGTAACTTGACGAAACCTGAAAATTGAAAAGCAGTACAAGCGAAAAATTGATTGTTACGAAGTGTGTTGAGGGAACATTGAGTTGATGAATGACAGGTTAACTCTGACATGTCGGCGTTAAAATAGGGTGGAATGTGGTATACTTCGGTTTATTTCAAATAAACTAGTAATGTTTCTGGTATTGTAAACCGAAGGTCATTATAACTGTAACAGAAGAACCTATTCTGAGTCAGTTCTTCCAAATTGTCAACTTTTGAAAAGCTGGTCCACACATACATATTAGTTTTTTCCTATCTGAAATACATTTCCTCCAACTGTGCTTTTGTCTTCACAACACTGAACTAACTAACTAACTAACTAACTAACTATTATTTCCACCTAGCCGCGTCCTACACGAGAAGCCAACAGCTACTCAGCTACTTAATAAATTTCCATCATTTTATATTACCTGACCCTTCATTACCGTGTTCACAAGATGCTGCCACTGGTCTCTATCCTGAGCCAGATGAATCCAGTCTACAACCTCCTATCGAACTTCTTTAAGACCCACGCTAATAATATCTTCCCATCTACGTCTACGTCTTCCTAGTTGCCTCTTTATTTCAAATTTTCCTATCACATCTGTATATGCACTTCTCTCACATACGTGCTAGATGTGCTGCCCATTACAATTTTCAGTTAAGCAGTCTAATAATATTCAGTGATGAGTACAAATAATAAAGCTCCCCATCATGCAGTTCTCTCCAGAAACCTTCCATGCTTTTCCATTAATATCAGAGTCCTGGTTTCAGACCAGTACAAAACTATAGGCAAAGTATTTTTTTTCATATTTTAATTTTTACGTTTTTATACGGCAGACGAGAAGACAAAACCTTCTGCACTGTGACAATACCTAACAACATACTAAACACGAATAAAGACCACGGTGCTCTATAATGATTAATTTTTTAATATGCTTAATTTTTGTCAAGTCCAAATACTTTCATTGGCATTTTTTTAAATAGTCAAAATTCCATTTATGAAGGAATTCAGAACATGTTAAATTCGGGGAATATTTGCCACCTTTCAGTTCAGAATTTCTTGATAGCAGTGTTTAAAAATTTTGAAGGTAAAAATACACAAAACCATAATGGATTTGAGGTCTCACAGCAGTAGCTATAAGGATTTCTAGCTTTTATAATACAGCACAGTTCAGTCCGATGAAAATCAACAGAGGTTTCGGAAGAACACATCGCTTCCGTCTTCTGGGTTGAAGAGTTTGACTACTGCTTCGTGGTGGTTTCTAGCTTGGCTAACAATTCGGCCCTGAATATGAAGCCAAAATGTTCTTCCGTCAATTGGCTTTCATTGGACTACACGGCGTTATGGCCCCGAAGACAGAACTCTTTAGAAAACTATAAGTCTGCATCTTTTGTGTGTGGTTGTGAAACTCGGCCACTCATACCAAGGAAATATAACAGAACCAAAGTATCTGAAGGAAGAGTATTGAAGGGAATTTTGAGACACGACGGAGAAAATCACAATGAGGAATTTCTTGACCAGATAATATTAGGACAATCGAACCAAACATCATGCAATGGGAAAATTATATAGGGCGGATGGAAGAAATGAGAAATTCACACAAAATTTTAGTCATAAAACCTGAAGAACCTAAGCGCAGAAGGAAGCATTGAGGACAGACTTACAGAAATGATGTATGGATTCATTTAGTTCAAGCTCCGAACCGGTTGCGGACCCTTGTGAAAGATAATGAAGCTTGGGGTTCCATAGGAGGCTGACAATTTCTTGATCATACGAGCGAGTATACCCATTAGCTTCTAGAAAGGGGCGCTGCTCCTAGAAGTTAGCTTTTCTTTTATGCCCCCAGCTCCATTGCCAGCACTGATAGTAACTAGAACAACTTTGATGTTATGAATATTAAGCGCTTTGTTTCAAGATTCAAATAACGATTTCTCTCGCGAAAAAGAAACCTATTTTTTGTTGTATCTTCCTGCTTGCCATTGATAATACCATATCCGTCCGCTGAGCGGCAGCAGTGTTACCATCACTCCTGTTACCGCAGCAGTAAACATGAGGCAGTAGCAATTTAAAAGTTGTTTCACGGCCAGAGTGGCCTCACCTGTTCTAACCGCCACAAGAAAACTGCAAGACCCAACATGCGGCAGGTTCTCTGATTCAGTAGTGACGAGGCTAGCATTCGCGCCGACTGGCTCCTTCTACTGACGAGTGGTGGTGAGTCATTAGGCTCGCCAGCCCAAGCTCTGGCCTCCAGCCAGCAATGACAAGGACAGCAGTGTTGATCCTTTGGCTAGGCATTGTTGTGGGACACAAGTACCAGCTAGAGCAATATGACTCCTTACGCGTCGCAAGATGTACGGCCGCTTGTTGGACGGTTACGTCCTCGTCCAGAGAAGGGGTAAGTTCATTTATATCAACAGCAGCCTTGAGTCTAAATGCCTGTAAATACGTTTTCACTGCTCAGACGCTTAAACCAAGAAGTTCTTCTAAATAATATTCATAAATGTAGTTCATACTTCAAACAATACACACTGTCACAATTCCAAAGATAAATGACGCTGATCCGGGAAATAATAACTGTTTGTTTTGTAAGTCATACAAAACAGAAATACGCTCTGTGGAGTAGAATAATAACAGACGTGACGTATGTGTTATTGTCCTACTGCAGATCATGCCTCTAGGACATTACTGAATTATGAGCTTACACAAATGGGACCATTAGTAGCCTATATTATCCTAAAACTATGCCCAGTTTAAGAACAGCCATTGAGGAAAGTTCGGTCCCATTCAAATCCATTCCTACTTCAATTTTAGTGCATGCTTTCAGATCCAACTGAGCTGAACCTCTTCTATTTCTGTGGCGGACAGTGTGACTTAGGTAAAAAAGGTAAAAGTGTACCTGTGCTTAACTATTTAAGCACTACGCCATAAAGGTGTATGGGGAAGTGGATGTATAGATTCACATTTTCTTGACCTCGGCACTAGCTGGAGGTGAGTGGTCAGCTTCACGCCCCGGCCGCTTTACCCCCCCCCCGGGAAAGCGCAACCTGTTCAAAATGTATGGGNTTATTATTATTATTATTATTATTATTATTATTATTATTATTATTATTATTATGGCTCTACAGCCCTTTGTTGGGCCTTGGCCGCTTTCTCAATTTCTTGATCCTGTACACAGCCGGTAATATATTTTTGATAGGGTATCAGGCCGTCGCAAGGCCGCTACCTACAAACAGAACAAAACAAACACAGAATAAACGCACACAGATACCCATGCCTTGAGTGGGATTCGAACCCACGATCCCAACGTTCCAGTGAACGAAGACGGTTCGTGCATTAGACCGGGCGCCAACTGTTATCGGCAGAAGTGGGCATATACGTTTTATATTTAACAATTTATATCAGCGTGTTCGTAGCAGGCCCATACTTTAATGATTTTCACATTTTACATATTCCTGCTCACAGTAATAAGGCATTCGAAGCTAACTTCTATGTTTATAGTTCTGAGACTTGTTTGTGTACCTTCCACTGTAGCACACAATGTTCTGGCACTCTTTAGTTGCGTACAGCTGAGCCACTATTAGCATACAATAACTATGTTCTCTTATTTGTACATAGTTTGTATTTCTTCAACAAATTCAAGCTTGGTGACAGATTGTGATAGCTTATATTTTACCTTATGAGTTTACCAGTGCTGGGTCCAATAAGCATGAATAAGACTCGAATTCTAACAGAAGTTTGGTAGTAGATTACTAGATGCTAAAGAATTTCAAATACTCGGCCTATTGAAAAGTGGTTGCAATTTGAAACCTCAGTTTGCCTTGCTGAATTAAATCAGATCGAAGCGAAAGTTATTGTGTTGCGTCTACATGGACAAGACTAATTTAGCTGTTTTCATTATCTTCATTCGAGCTTTTTTTTTTTCTTGGCACTACAGCCCCAGTGGGCCTAGGCCTACCTCCATGAACTTCTCCGTTCACTTCGGTTTTTTTAGATCATACACATTCGGTAGGACTCCTTAGGCGGGTGATCAGCTCGTCGCAAGGCCTCTACCTGTACACAAACACAAAAAACGCACACACACAAACTAAACATCCATGCCCTGAGTGGGATTCGAACCCACGATCCCGGTTTCCAAGCGAGCGAAGACAGTACGTGTCTCATTCGAGTTTAGGATAGTCATATATATGCAATAAATAAGGTACGTAAAATGTATACAGCAAATGCAATAAAGTGACGTAATACTCAAAGTGGCATGTACTGTCTTCGCTCGCATGAAAACCGGGGATCGTTGGTTCGAATCTCACTCAGGGCATGGATGTTTAGTGTGTGTGTGTGCGTTTTTCTGTGTTTGTGTACAGGTAGAGGTCTTTGACGAGCTGATCACCCGCCCAAGGAGTCCTACCGTATGTGTAAGATCTAGAAAAACCAAAATGAACGGAGAAGTTCATGGAGGTAGGCCTAGGCCCACTGGAGCTGTAGTGCCAAGAAAAAAAATGCTCAAACTAACATTACCTTGTACTAGTCTCTGTGTTTTACAAATCCGAAAGTTTGTGTTTAATGCAAAGAGAGATGTATTACATAACTCGACATTATTACCTTTAGTACTTCCTGCATGAAAACGAAAGTTGGAAATGGTTTGTAAACTCACCATACATTATTTCACTTTGTCAACGAAATATCTGGTCACGTACAGATCTGAGAAGTCATGTGTGAAGGTGGTATTTTCTGTAAGTACAAGTAAAATACTGCAGTTTTAAAATAATCATCTATGTATAGAAACTGGGCGCAACTCAGTGCATAGTGAGGCAGTTTGTTTTCCAGAAAATTTATCTTCAATATACAGAATGACCCCAAGTCAGTTAACCTAAAGAAATTCTGAAAATTTTGATGTCAATATAAATTTATGTCGGTTAGTTTTTAGAACGTTGTGACAGCATTGTGAGTAGTACATTGAACATGGAAGATCCAATTTCGAACGATTTTTTAAAATTCAACAAATAAATAAAAAAAAAAAAGAAGTAAAGCTATCCCTGTAACAGGTCGTGACGGCCCATAGGGTTGTGAGACATTGAGGATCCCACATTATCTAGACAATCGGCTCAAAGATGGCGGTAAGGTTGTCAGCCTTACGCGCCGGCCGCGCTTTACTCCCCAGGAAAATTATTTAATTACTACAAGCCGGAAGGTCGCGGTTTCAAGTCCCGGTGAGGTTATTGGATTTTTTCAATCGACCTAATCCAACAGCCGCACTAGGCCCTGGGGTTTACTCAGTCTCAGCAAATAATAATAACGTAATTTCTAACGAGTTTTATTGTACATATTGCTAACCACTTAACCGACTTACTGGCTGCTCTGTATTTATTTTTCTGAAAATCCCAAAATTAGTGAAAGACCCACTCGTGAGCCCGATTGTTTGTTCATCATGCATGGAAAGAACAAGTAATGGGGAGGCTATATCAGTTTGTCTGCCCGCGCGTTTCCAGCAACTTGACAGGCATCGGTAACATTTTGTATTAGAGCCAACAGTAAAACTTGCCTAGCAAATTAGCCCCATATAACCATATATCACATGGAGATAAATATTGTACCATTATTCGTAAAACTGTGGGATAATCACAACTTATAATGATATCATTCTAAAGATTACTGTAACTGTAATACAAAATAAAATCTTCAACGTCTGCTTCATAGCCGTTGCTTGGTAACGGAACTTATCCGGTTAACACTCAACAGCTGAATACTCAATGTTTAACTCCCTTCTGAATTCTCTTACGAATGAATTTCTGGCTGTTTTTTTTTTATAAATTCAGGAGGACCTAATAGCTGTCACCGCCTCCAAGGTTTCTAGTACAGCTCTTCATGAATGCGTTTCTCAGCTGTGGGCTCTTCCAGGTTACTGTCCGGGAAACGTGTTTTAACAAGCCGTTGTCTAGCAATGAATTATTCCATCACTATATTTTAGATGTGGCGAACAACGTGGACCATACTAGCGAGCCCATTTCGTGCCACTGTGCACACAACGCTATCCGAACCGTTTATCTTTGACAAAAGTAGTTTACCGAGCGAGAAGTGAGTTTCCCATGCCTGTAACTAAGTGACGCTGTGTAGTATGATAGCACTTTACCAACAATTCGGTGGAGCTGGTTGCCTCCATCTTCATGGTAGCAGCTGTGCTGAAAGTGGAGGCAGCAGGATCATCCGAAATGTTGCTAAAGTTCCACCAGACTACACGGCATCACATATCTCGAAGACAGTAATCATTAACAGTATACTGGATTCATTTGTCTCATGAAATGAATTAGTGGAGGCTTTTGTGAACACGGTAATGAACTTGGAGCATCTGAGGAAGAGTTCTGCCACATGGTGTCAGTGTTTGTACCTGCGAAACCTACTGTCTGAGTAGGACCTTCTTTCTTGCTCAGGTCAAGAAGTGGAAAAGTACCAATTCAGTTGGCCCCGATATGACGTAATCTCGGTCACTAAGACATTGACGTTAGTGATATTGAGACATTGAATTAGTTTCAGTCTACTGAATCCAACTGAAAAGTGCCAGTTCATTCTTTTTTTCAACGAAGTTGGAAGGCATCTGAGTCTGCGACTTCACTATTGTATACAAAGGCGATGGACAATGTCCAGAAACCCAGTGATACCCCTCACTCACTCACTCACTCACTCACTCACTCACTCACTCACTCACTCACTCACTCACTCACTCACTCACTCACTCACTCACTCATTCCTAGAGCTGAGGCCTTCCTGAGAAGCTGCCACTTGTACAGCTACTGAATAATTTCCAGCATTTTATAGAACCCGAAAATTCATTACCGTGTTCACAAGAGCTCCTCACTGGTCCCCATCCTGAGCCAGATCGATCCAATCCATACCATCCCATCCAATCTCACCAAGAGCCAGTGATACCAATTGTCAACATAATCATCGTTGGAATTCTTTGAAGATTATTCTCTTCCTTGAATTGCAGTTGTATAAGTCCTTTTGAGCGCAGATCTGTTCATGACCACGTGTCATTAGTTACGTTGTTCAATTTTTACTCTGTCCATCCTCTTTCGAAGGGGCACTCAGTAGCGTAGTTGGTTGAGCCACTATTCTACAAGCCGGAAGGTCGCGGGTTAGATTGCCGATGAAGTCATTAGATTCTTCTATTGAACTAATCTTTCCAGCCGCATTATGGCCCTGTGGTCCATTCAGTCTCTGACAGAAATGAGTACCACGAATCTTCGTGAGAGTAAAGGACGACCAGTGCATAAGGTTGACAACTCACTGCCATCTGTGAACCAATTATCTAGAAAGCCTTGATATTTCACAAACCTATGGGTCTCTACGGCCTGTTACAGGAATAGCTTTACCTTTTTTACCGTCCTTTTTCGAATGTTTGTG